AAAGAAAGAAGGAAAAGAAAGACAAGGAAAGGAGGAAGACAGAGAGAAAGGAAGGAAGAAAGACGGAAAGGAAAGGAAAGAGAAAGAAAGGGAAGGAGAAACAGGGAAAGCAAGAAAGACAGAAAGGAAAGGAAGAGAAAAAGAAGGAAGAATGGATGGAGAGGGAGAAGGAAAGGAAACAAGAGAAGAGGAAAGAAAACAGAAAGGAAAAGAAAGCTTTTAGATAAAAGCTTTTTTCAGAGAGAGCCCTAATAACTCCTTAGAAGAGGAAAGGAACAGTTATTCCTTCTGGCAGGGCATCTGGCCCAGAGGCTGAAGTGATCTCAGAAATCCCGGTGGATTTAAATCTTTAAAGGTAGGGAAGGCTTTCAAGAGGAAGAGGAGGAGGAGGAGGAGGAGGAGGAAGAGGAAAAAGAGAGAGACGCAGGAAGCATTGCCTCTGAGCTGATATTTACATTATAACCAGGGCAGAAAGGAAAGGAAACACACGTACAGGATGCGATGGAAAGATATCCAAGAAGCTGCAGCCGGCTTCAACGGAAGACAAATGTCGCTTTTTTTTTTTTAAAAAAAGAAAATATTATTATTATAAAGTTCAAATATTCACGAAAGAGCCCCAGAAGAGGGTTATCTCTGCCACTCTGCCCCCCCCAAATAAATTTGGTATCCCTTTTTCCTGCCAATGAAGACCCCCCCCCCGACCCGAAGGGGGTCGGTCTACGGAGGTCTTAATTGTATAAATGGAACTTCCACCTCAGCAGCAGTCTACCTCTGTGGGGCGACACGACCTTTGACTTATTTGTTTATATTTCTAAACCGCCCGCAGTCCTTAAATAGTAGCTTTGAATCCAAACTTTGGGATAAAGAGAAGATTTCTCACCCCTCCACCCACACCCCCAACTAAATTCCAATTAAACCAATCTGCACATATATCCTTAAAATAATATTTCTGAGTCAATATCCCACCCTCAAATAGTAACTTTAAATCCAAACTTTGGGAGTTTCTCACCCCTCCACCCATACCCCCAACTAAATTCCAATGAAACCAAAGATGCACAATCTATATATAAACTTAATATTTCTGAATCAATATCCCGTCCTTGACCCCTAACCCAGACCTGGGCACAGACACCCAGCGGACCCAACGGCTCGCTCTTTTTCGAGGAGCCTCCAGCACCAGGAGCAGTTTACCAGCAACTTGCCTCCCACCAGGTATTGCTTGCTGATCGGCGTCTTTACCTGCGGGAAATCATTGCAGCGGCTTCTGCCGGGTTGAAACAAACTCCCTTGTTCCCCGGCCCGGAGGAGAAACACGCGTCTCCCCTTCGGCAGCCCCGGAATCGCTCGCTGAGAGCAGCTGGGAGCCGAAGGGAACGGCCGCCCCAGACAACAGCCTTGCCCCAGGCCGCGCCCCCTCCTCTGCCATATAGGGCAAAGCCTACCGCCCCGTCCCGACGACGCCCGAGCCCCCCATTGGACGAGACACGCCTCTCCCCCGCCCAGCCGGCCGCTTTGGAAAACCCTCGTGTCAGCCGAGGGGAAAGACGCTTCTGGCCCAGTGACGTCATACCGAAGGGAATCCCCGCTCCGCCAATCAGCGCCGCCTGGCAACAGGCACCGCCCCTAGCAGTGGCGGGCGCGCCTTTTAAAGAGACAGCTCTGGCTTTAATTAAAATAAAATAAAATAATAAAATATAAAAAATGAAACAAAATAATAAATAAATGAAATAAAATAATAAAATAATATATAAATAATGAAATGAAATGAAATAAAATAAATAATGAAATGAAATGAAATAAAATAAATATAATAATTAATAAAATATTAAAAAATGAAATAAAATGAAATAAAATAAACAATGACATGAAATAAAAATGAAATGAAATATAACAAAATAAAATAATAAAGGGACTGCGCCAAGCTTTGGGGTTAGGCAGAGCGCTTTGTCAGGAGGGGCTAAAAAGTTCCAACTTTTGGGACATTATTATTGTTTGCTTTTCTCTTTCTGGAGTCAGGGCTTGGATTGAACAAGAGTGGGTTTACTGATCACTTTTGGCTTCTTTTAAATCAGCGTTTCTCAATCAAAATCACTTTTAAGACTGGTGTACAGGTGGTATTCAGCAGGTTCTGACCAGTTCTGGACAACTGGTAGCGGAAATTTTGTGTAGTTCGGAGAACTGGCAAATACCACCTCTGACTGGAGATTTTACAGTCTCCTTCCCTTGCCACGCCCACCAAGCGATGCCCACAGAACCAGTAGTAAAACAATTTGAATCCCATCACTGGACTGGTGGACTTCAACTCCCAGAATTCCCCAGCCACCATCCAGCTTAAAGTGATTTTTGATTGAGAAATACTGATGTAAAACACTGGATTCATGATGAACGCATCTATGACGACTACGATCATGATTGATCACTTATATCTTTTATGTACCGAAGACAAATTCCTTGTGTGTCCAATCACACTTGGCCAATAAAGAATTCTATCCTATTCTATTCTACCATATTTTATTCTACTATATTTTATTCTTCAATATTCTACTCTATTCTATATTTATTCTGCTTCTATTTTTTATTCTATTCTATTCTTCTATATTCTATTCTGCTTCTATTCTTCTATAGTTTCTATTCTATTATTTATTCTATTCTATATTCTATTCTGCTTTTCTGCTTCTATTCTATTCTGTTCTCCATTCTATTCTTCTAAATTCTATTCTGCTTCTATTCTATTCTGTATTCTATCCCATTCTTCTATATTTTATTCTGCTTCTTCTATTCTTTTCTGCTTCTTTTCTATTCTGTTCTGTTCTCCATTCTATTCTTCTATATTCGATTCTGTTCTGTTCTCCATTCTATTTTTCTATATTCTATTCTGCTTCTGTTCTGTTTTATATTCTATTCTATTCCAACCCTTTTTAACCCTGCATAGATAGAGATGGACACCATTCACAGGATTCAGAGCTACTCCCACACTCCCCACTGTTGCAGTATATTTGGCCCCTCTTGGCTACTGCCCTTTCAGGCCCATCCTTCTGGGGAAAACCTGCAAGCTCAATCTCTCCTCCTTCCCTTCTATCCAGAGAATTCACCATAATTCTGGAAGAGGGGCGAATTTTTTTTTTAAATTCTGTTCCAGCCAACACTGTCCCATCTTTCAGGAGCCCTAACCCCCAACGGGGAACAACCCTCCCTGGAAATTCAAGGCGGACCCGGTAGCCTCAGATTGGCCAGCTGCTCCCATGATGGAATTCCTCTGAATTCAAAGCCTTCCTAGGGTTCTAACCTGATCTGTAGATTGCTGGAAACTGTCTTCGAGCCGAGAATCAAAAAAAAAAAAAAAAAAAAATTACGCCCAGCACCGATGCAGAATGGCCAGCCAGCTGAGTGGTTTTTGTTTTACTTTCCTCCTGGTTTTTCTAACCAATCCTTTTCCGCCGGAGAAGCTCTAACCTGTTGGCATTCTCGCCTGTAAGCCCTGCAAAGAATATTTTGCATTGGTTTAGAAAAATAAAATAAGAAAGGCACGCTTGGGAAGTGGAGAATGTACGTTTCTACCCCGGCTTGGATTGATCCGCTGCGTTTGGGGGTGGGTGGGGTGGGAAATCCCCCACCTTTGGAAGGGATTCCAAAGGATCTCATGGAGCTATAATAAGGCAAGCTTGGGACTATAGGGAAAACCCAGAAAGGGAGCCGGCAATGAGCTCAGAAGGCTATTTGGCAACTGTGATGCCTTCTCATTCTTGACCAGGCCGTAAGCTTCTACCCCCCAGGGATCTCTGAACTCTTTCAGGCTCAAACTGAGGATCCTTTGTGTCTCCAAACTTCTTCTTTTCTTTTTTTTCTTAAAAGAGGAAGAGAATAAAATAGCTCCTTTCTCTTATCTCCTTCTGAATTTTTGCAGCTGAGTCACGCAGTCTGAATCGCCCAGGGCTAACCCGGCATGGAAACTGTCCGGAGCAAAAGGAATCCCGCTGGACTTCCAGCTTGCCTTCTATTAGCCAGAGTCCAGCCAAACAGGCTATTTTGAATTGTTGGGGTGGGGGCAATTAAGCCACTTGCATTGGGGCAGCTAGTGTACAGGAACTTATCTAGAGACACAATAGCAAACCCTCCTGGTCCCATTCCTATCCCATGAATGCTAACATGCTTGTGAAGAAGGCACAGAAGAGGCTGTCCTGTCTGAGAACGCTCAGGAAGATATTAATCTATCTCAGCATCTCCTTCTGTCCTACTATGAGAGTGTCCTGACATACGGCATTCTTGCATGGTATGGGAGCAGTTCTATATAGCGGACAAAAAAGCTCTACAGAGAATCATTAAAACTGCCCAGAATATCATTGGGCTCCAGCTATCAGCCCTTCGCCTCTCACCGTTTGAGGAAGTCGCACAACATCCTCAGAGACTCTCCCCATCCTGCTCACAATCTTTGTGAACTCTTTGCCTTCTGGCAGAAGATACAGAACCATTAAAACTCGGACCCGCACATTTTCTGAGCAATTTTTATCCCAGAGCTATAATGGCACTTAACAACAAATTTAAGGACCGCCATCAGTGAGCTGTTGGACAGGATTACTTGGTCTGTTGTGTGGATGCTTGTGTGTTTTTTTGGGGGGACGGGGAATTTTGGCGGGTGGGGGTGTGTGTTTGGGGATTGTCATGTGTGTGTGCATGTTGAGTCTGGTCTCTGGGTGTTGTGTGAATCTCGTTATATGTGTATACTGTGTAGATACGTACAATGACAATAAAGAATTCAATCTATCGAATCCATCCGTTTGAGTGATTCTAATGCGCTTAAAACAAACAATCCGTCAGCCCAAACCAAGGCTTTTTGGAGAAGAAAGCTCAGGACGGAGACTCACGCAGAGATACAACCCCCCAAGAGTGGCATCTCACGCAACAAGGCCCATTTTGTGCTTTTTTTTTTTTCTAGATTGCAAATTCAGAAGCTATCCATTTGTCTCCATTTCTCCAGGCAGCTTTGGATGCAAAAACGTCTAAGATGGTCAAAAGGGAAGAACTTTTTGTCTCGTTTTCCTCCAAGGAAAGAAGACAATGCAAAAAAATTTCACTTTTTGTACCGAACCAAGCAAAACAAAAACAAGAGATGGGTCATTAAACATTCTCCCACTGCCCGTTCTTCTACTTTTGCCCTGGCATGAGCCAGATGTTTTCATCTGATGCCAGCGAGGCCAGCTGCCGCTCGGCTCTCTCCGCCCTGCTTTGCGTCATTCATCACAAAAGAGTGCTTGGATGTTACAAGCTGGCAGTACAAGGCACCCTTTGTTAGGGGAAGCAGATTTTTCCACCAAACAGGCCACCATAAGTGGGATTTGATCTTAGATCTTATCCTTCAGCTCCACCCAGGTTAAGGGAAGAAGGAAACTTCAGAACAAGCCACCTGCAAAGTTGGAGGCTCTGTTGAGTCGGGAGAACCAAAAGCTGGAGAGAAGCAAAACTCAAGGAGGGTGATAAAACAGGGGTGGGGTTGTGCAGAGGGAAACGTAAAAGGGGGAGTCGATCTCTGCAAGCAGAAAGCTAGCTCTCCTTGGAGCAGAGCTCGGGAAGCTAGCTTTTTAGCTGCGAGGACAGAAGAAGCTGCTCTATAACAATCTAGATGACCGATCTATCTGTCTAGATTCTGCAGGGAGGGAAGTTTCTCCAGCCCTTTGTAGAAATGACTGAAACCAAATCTGGGGCCTTCTGTAATTTTTTCACCAATCTATGGATTTTCCCCCTTCAACGAATGATTTGATTTACATGCTGTTTGTTGCTCATTTGCAAAGCCGGTGCCAAAAATCTCCTGGCCATGTAAAGGATCACATCAAGGTTGCAAAATGGGAGTGAAGAGCCTCAGAAATCCTATTTTAACACTCTCTAGCTGAACGGCAAGGAAGATTATCTGCCTTGGCCACTTCTTGGATTTGAGACCTCAAAGGACGTGGGCGGACATCCTTTGATGTTTGTCTATCACCCCCCTATTTCTATTTAATTCCGTCACCACCCACCACCCCAGCAATTCAACAGGACCCACGAAATGTCCCCAAGCGAGTCGAGTCGATCTGGGTCCAGATAACCACAAGTAGGTGTGTGGCACTCCAAAGGTTGCAGTTTATCCCGGTGCCTTTGGCACTATCTAATCTCACGCAAGTCCCTTGAGGCGATTCCCGGGGTTTTGGGTGACAAAATACAATTATTTTCTCTGAATTCTATTTTTTTTTTTCACCCCTTCAGCAAACGAGATGGAAATAACCGGAGGAAAAATGAAAGCCAAGTTGTTCTCCGTCCACGCAGAAGACACTGGAACCAGATGGGGCAAAGCTGCAATTCACACCCAAGTGTGAATAAAAAGGGGATTGGTTTAAAAATAATAATAATCCGGAGCCCTTTCCCAAACCAGACCCTTCGCAAATAGCCCCCCAACCTTCAACAAAGGGCTTCATTTAGTAGAGTTGCAAAGGGCATTTTAGCCAGGTTCCAAAGAGCCCTGCGGAGGTAGAGATTCTGCACTGCATTTAAGAACCATCCCAAAAGTTTCTTTTCCTGGAAATTTCCTGCAGGTGTTGGAAGCCACCCCCCACCCCCCCACCATAACACCTAGAAGCTGGCTTGGGAGTTTGTCTTGCTTTGAAAAAAAAAACATGAAGATGCTTTGTTTCCCTTTTCTTTTCTTTTTTATGTTTATTTTCATTTGAAACACACGGCTGTCCTGTTTTCTTGTGTTGATCCCCTAGCACCACAGAAATGTCAGCGTGAATGTGATTAAAATCGGTAAAAGGGGCGTCCCCGATAATCGAAGAGTTCAGTCCCGGGGAGTCACGATTGTTGAGGGTATCTGGCCCAGTTCTTTCACATTTAGGGAGGCGGCCCTTTTTCCTAGCATTTCCCAGCTGTTTGGGAACATGGAGTAGCATGGAGCCCAGGCCACACTGAGAAATACAGCCACTGTGTTCTTCCATGGATATTGTTCTCCTCCAAGTACATCCAGAAGAGTACCCCAAATCCAGTCTTAGAAATCCAGCTGAAGGCATGTCCATACTCAGGTCTCCAGGAGAGGGAAGGAGGACACCAAGTGGGACCCTGAATTCAGATTCACTGCCAAACTAGATTAGGCCAAACTCCCATCGCATCGGGTGGAAAGGGAAGTGTGCAGCCTGCTCAGAAGCTGTTCGGCCCATTTGGAGGCTCAGTGGGAAAAATTGGATTTTTCCAGCCCTTTTCAAAGAAGGATAGCAATAGCAAACAGCACTTAGGCTTATATAACTGCTTCATAGTCTTCACAGCCCTTTCTAAGCGGCGCACAGCCTATTCCCTCCAACAATCTGGGTCCTCGTTTTACCCACCTCGGAAGGACGGAAAGCTGAGCCAACCTTGAGCCTGGTGGGATTCGAACTGGCAAACTGCAGTCAGCCGGTAGTCAGCAGGAGCCCTGCAGTACTGCACTCTGACCACTGCGCCACTGTGGCTCGTAAAATGTAGGATAAAACGTTGGCTGCGGCATTCTGGACATTGAAGCCTTACAGAATAAGTGTTGGAAGGGACCCCGGGGGGGGTCATCTAGTCCAACCCCCCGCGCAAGCAAGAGACCCTATACTATTACAGACAGCTGCCTGTCCAATGTCTTCTTAAAAGCCTCCAGGGATGGAACACCCACAACTTTTGAAGGCAAAATTAACTTTTTTCTCACCATCAGGAAATGTCTCCTTAGTTCTACACCAGGCAAGTTTGAAAAACAGGCCCGTACAACAAGTTTCTATTTTTCAGCGCCTTTAGGATGGCTGCAATAATTCCTGGGAACTGTTTTGAGTTGGGGTTTTTGGGGGGAGAGGGTTGAATGACCACAGGGAATAAATTCAAACCGCACCCCCAAGTATCCCTTTCTTTGCCTGAGTAAGTCACCCAAGCCACAAGCTTCTCTAAGTAGGTATGTTTCAATGAAGAAAGAACAGAGCTAGATAAAAAAAAATAACCGAGAAAAGAAGGTCTTGCTGCTTCTCTCGTAAGCCACCAAGGAGGCGAGGAAGAGGAGTCGTATTAACAAAACAGACACAAGACATTTAACAGTCCAAATCCAGCCTTGGTCAGCTTACTTAGTTGCCTTTTTCAGCCAACCTGAAGTGGAGTTTGCTAGTTTTCCCCACAATCCAAATTCTAGACGTTGTAGAGCATCCGTGACGGAGTGATTTTTTATTTTATTTTTTTGCTTTCTGTGAATTTTATACCGCTTGCCATCCCAAGGAAAAGGAGTCCCAAATTTCCTGCTAAGGGCATCCCCAAAATGGAGAGGATTTGGAATGTAGGAGAGAGTGTGTGACAAAGTCACCGGATTCTGGCTGTACATATCACACCATAGAAATATATATGTATATATTTATAGTTAAGATAAGATAGGTGTGTATTTTTCCCCCCTCCCCGCAGAGTGTCGTAGATGAGTCATGAGAAACAAATTGGGGAGGCTATGCGTGCGTTATGTACACATGTGTAAAACGGGGAGCTCAAGTTTTAGGCCCGGCCTACACCCCTCAGGGACGGTGAGGGAATGGTGAAACCTCTGAAAATGTTTTTTCTTCCATAAAGACCAAGTCAACCAGGCAGAGAGACACCTAAGGCAGCCTGGGCCTGGATTTAACCACGGTTACTGTTCTGCAGTGTCTCCAAAATTATTTTGCACGGTGGATGATTAGCTTGGCGTGGTGACCTTAGGTAGCATCAAAGATCTGGGGTCCGGGCTTATAGATAAAACTTTCCTGAGCCCGTCGCTAATTTATCTTTTGTGAATGATGAAATCTGGATCAGAAAGGTAAGGCTCGTTGCCTTGAAGGTGTAAGGCAGGAGTCCCCAAAATTGGCCATTTTATGACTTGTGGACTTCAACTCCCAGAATTCTCCAGCCAGCTATGCTGGCTGGAGAATTCTGGGAGTTGAAGTCCACAAGTCTTAAAGTGGCCATGTTTGGAGACCTCTGGTTTAAGGAATCCTGTTTGACCTCCAGGCCACCCGCAACCCTTCTCTCCCCAGTTCCTTTGCCTACCTCTCTGAGATCATCTGATCATTCTTTCCTTTCTATCCTGCATCTCTCTGGCAAAGCCGTTTCTCACCACTGTTACCGAGAGCTAAAACTCCTGTGGCTTCTGTCAAAAGAGGACAAAGGATAGATGTGTGTATGTGTTGACACACACACACACCTACACCTACACACTTACATACAAGACACACATGCCGGGCAGTTTGTCATTCTAAGGGCAAGTACCAGAAGATCCTACGGAGCCCAGTTAAGAGCGAAGGACCAAGCTGGGTGCTTTGGGGGATGAAAACCTGAGTCCAGTTTCTTGGAACTTCTGCAGGGAGATCCCTGTTGGCTTATTTGGGGGGATGTGTGGGAAATCTGCCACCTCCAACCCCCCCTGCCCCTGAGTTTGTAGGATGGGTTGTTGTTTTTCCTTTGTTCAGAGATGCCACAGCTCGGACAACTCTTCTGTCTGTGGTTTTGTTTTCCCCTTGGTGTCGGCCAAAACAAATAATAAACCTGATTAAAAATAATAATAATAATAACAACAAAAAAGAATGACTTCAAGTATGAGTGACATTTACAGTGGACGGTGATCCCGCCCCCCCTCCCAGAAGCAAAATGGGGGAACTTTGTTCCTTGGTCACATTCCGAAGCTTTGCCGGATTTTTAAAAATGGGAGGCTTTTTTTTTGGCTCCTCGTTGAGTCCGATGGGCGAGATAATGCTGCAACCAAACAATAAACCCCAAAAGAATGTTCTTCTCCAACCGAAATCCTCTTGCAATCCTTCTCTTCTTCTTCTTCCTCCTCCTCCTCCTCATCTCCCTGCTATCCCCCCCCCTCTTCCTGTCCCTACCCCCCCAAAAAATATAAAAAAGCAAGAAGTTTTACAAAAATAGAAAATAATTACAGCAATAGCCGGGTGGAGGGAAGAGAGAGAGGCAGAGGGAGAGGAGGAGAGGCCGGATCGTTTCATTTGGCTGCGCAGTGTAATATGGTGGGGTTGTTCAAAGCATCCTCTACCAGATGGAGTTCTTGGCGGTCCACCACCACGTCTCGTATGCAGCCCACGAAGCCGGTGAGGAAAGATTTGGGAAGCTTGTGGGCCAGGCTCAGCTTCTCCAACCCACCTGTGAGAAGAGGACAGAGAGAACTTAGTGTCAGGATTCCGGCAGTTACCCCCCCCCCCATTTAAATCGGGAGTCTCGAGCCAAACTTCCAAAAGGATTTATTGGGAGTTAACACGTCCGGCACTGCCTGAGTGTAGCCGACTCTGAGATACATTTGCTAAGGATGCCTTGCAGGGTCCCAAAGACTCATTTCTGGCGGAGTTTGGGGGAGAGAAAGGAAGACTTTTGCTATTTTTCCTTACGTGCAGCCAAAAGCAGAAGAAGAAAAAAGTGGAAAGAAGCAGCCCGGTGGCCAGGCCAGGCGTGTGGGGTGAGTGGGGCAAGTTCCCCCCCTCTGCCCTTTCCCCCTTCTCCTCACCACCTCGTGTTGTTTGCAATGCAAGCGACGCAAGCCTTGTGTTCCTGCGGGCCATGTGGGCGGCGCAGCCTCGTCTTCCCGCACAGCCTGGATTTGGGGGTGACATTTCTCTGCGGACTACCTAAATTTTCTCACGGACCACCAGTGATCCCCGGCCCACAGGTTGGCGACCACTATGCCCTATCCCATCTGGAGAACCCAACCCATGTCCTGGCTAATAGTCGGTGCTATTAAGACGATTGGGTTCTTTAGAAGAGGTCCAGCGATGTGGGGGCGATGTGGTTGCGCTCATGAACTCACCCAGCCAAAGGGCCCCGTCTGTGTCCAGCTGAGTTGCTCCGAGAGGCGAGGAACCCATGATGGGAGATTCGTTGCCGACTTGGAGGGACCCATCTCGATGGACTCTGCCGGAAGAAGAGACACATAAGGGCAATGCATGGGAAGGTCTCCCATCGCACGTTCCTACGGACCAACCTTCTCTGTGTTGAAGACCTCCAGATGTTAACCGTGTCTATAGGAACGTTGGCAATTGTACCCAATCATCATTTGTGGCGCAGTGGTTAGAATGCAGTACTGCAGGCTGCTTCTCCTGACTGCTGGCTACCGGCAGTCCAAATCTCACTGGCTCAAAACTGACTCAGCCTTCCGTCCTTCCGAGGTGGGTAAAATGAGGACCCAGATTGTTGGGGGCAAGAGGCTGACTCTGTAAAACCGCTTAGAGAGGGCTGGAAAGCACTGTGAAGCGGTATATAAGTCTTAAGTACTATTGCTATCTTTCTCCCTCCCTCCCCCCCTTCCTTCCCAGTAGTTAGAATGCAGTATTGCAGGCTAACTCTGCCCTCTGCCAGCAGTTCTATCCTGATCGACTGGCTCAAGGTGGACTCAGCCTTCCCGAGGCGGGTAAAATGAGGACCCGGATTGTTGGGGGCAAGAGGCTGGCTTTTTCCCAATGGCCAAAGAAATAGAAGTTAGAAACTTAAAAGTTTAAGAGAATGATTAACTATATCATGAAAATCTATTAGTATGGATAAGCCATTATTATTATTATTATTATTATTATTATTATTATTATTATTATTAT